GCTTCCAAGGGAAGCTAATAAAGGGGTCAAGGCTTCCTAAAGAAGCCAAGGCAAAGGGGCCAAGGCTTCCTTAAGAAGCTGGGACAGGTGTCCAAGCTTCTTGAGGAAGCTAAGACAAAGGTCCAAGCTTCCTCAAGAAGCTAGACCAAAAAGGTGCAAAAGGGGCAAAACAGCCACACTCGTGCACGGGGACAGGGTTTGTGCATTCCAGCTGGCACAGCTGGCATGCACCATGCTTGAAAAAGGCAAAAAGGTGGTACCGGCCAGAAAAGGAGGCCATTGGCCAAACAGATGATTGGCCGACCACACAAAATGCCGACCGGCCAATGGTATATTTCACCAATGGCTGGTAGTAAGAAGACATAGCCGGTGGCCTCAATCCAAGGCCGGTGGGTGTCAGGGGTAGTTAACAGGCTACTCTCTACCCTCAGGTGCAAAAACAAACAAGTCCTTGGTGTAAAACCAAGCATAGAACAAACAAGTCAAGAGATCCTGAGGCAAGGCACGTAGCCAAGACCTCTGGGAACTCAAAACAAACACGGACATAAATGATCACCGAGTGTTCAAGCGGTGACGTCCAAGTCTTGAGGACGGTCAAAAATGGGGTGTCTACATATCCCCAATATGTGTTGGTAGAGTTAGCATATGATATACATATGTGAACTTTCACATTGTGTTGTATTTAACAAACACATATAATGACTAACAATACTCATACATCAGGAATAAACACTAAGAAAGAACATTCATATTAAAAGTATATTTCTTGGTAGACAAAATGTATATAGCTATTCATATCAACAACTTTGTGGAATCATTGTTTACTAACTAACAATATCCAAGTTCACATGTTAGTGATTGGTATATCATATACAAAACATATTGTACTTAGACAAAACCTGATGTTAACATTGTGTCATCAATACATCAAAAGAAAATGGTGGGGTGTGAAAATATGAAGTTTAGTTCTCAGATGCATCCTCTTTGGTATCAACAACAAAAATTGTATGATTTGTTCTTTCAAGATCATTCAAAAATGCTTCGACTAACATAGCTCTCATAGAGAACCAAGCTTCCTTGTCCAGCATCGGTTCAATCGGTTCATGATGGGCATGTTGCCTCATTATGTAGCAAAGTGCAACTCCGCAATTAAGTCTACAGGGGAAAAAAGAAAAGAAAAGAATCAATACTTTCTTATATTCACATTGGTTGTAGGTGTTATATCAATGAGAATATTAATTGTAAATACTCACGAATTCGGATCTTGTTGAGGGCATGCAACAACTGATTGCAATTGCTTGACATAGTTTGAGGGTGTTAATGTATCTGCCATATCCGATGTGGAGAGCAATTTCTGAATATGTGATTCGATATATGTTTTCTGTGATTGTTTTAGTTATATCGCTGTGTAGTGTTTGTTTATGGGAATTTTTTTTGATGTTTTTGTTATGAAGTAATTTGGTTTTGTTGTTAGATACAAACCATATGTGTCTTTTCGGGGGTATAGTAGTTGAAACTACACTACAACAAAAAAGGATTTTTATGGCGTTCAATGCACGCTGTAAAAACCCTTCTACGACGTGTAGGCGCACGTCATATTATAACCAGTCATGGAAAGTCATTCACTTTCAACGACATGCTTCGTACGCCTTTAAAAACTATTTAACAATAGATTTTGTGCGTTATTGTTACTTTTTCTACAACATGCTACAGTACGCTATTAAAAACTATTTAACAGCAGATTTTGCGCGTCGTTGTTACTTTTTCTACGACTACTTTTGCATGTCGTTAATTGGCAAGACAAATAATGACGCTGATTGGGTGCCGTAAAATATGTAATACAATGACTAATTATGCATGCCATAGAATATGCATTTTTATTTTTATTTTTAAATTCATCAGGTTCTATTTGACCAATTTTATACAATCTAACAAATATTTTCCAAACTTCATATTTGTTGGTCAACCCAAACTTATTATGCTTAGGACGCTTAAAGTCTCGAAACTTGTGCAAATAGTTTTTAAAATCTGGATCTACAACTTCACATTGCTTCTCACTGTCATTTTGTTCCAAATTTTCCAACTTTCTTTTCTGTTTGTCACCCTTTTTGTTTTGATATTCAAAATTAGGCAACTTCAGTTCTTTCCTTTATTTTTTAATTTTGGTGCGCTTCACCAAAGATGTCAGAGTTTTTTGGGTCTTCTTCTTCAAGTTTTGCTTCAGTTCCACATCCATAGTCTCTTGGTTTATCTGTTGTGTGACAACATGTACTGCATCATCATCAATTTTATCTAATAGCATAGTTTTCACAAGTTAGAGTATAGTCTTCTCAATTTGGAGGTCAATTATGGAGTTGTTTTGCCTTTCTATCTCAACATTCTTATTATCAATTGTAAGTTTGACAAAGGACAACTCATTCTGAGCTGTTGGATTCTCCTTCTAGCTATATATTAATGTTTCCAACTCTAAGATGATTTTGTCTTTCATGTCATTTGCTGCCTGCAGATTCTGGTTCTCAATTTGTAGTTTCTCGATGAGGTCCAATGCTTTTTGCTGGTCAGCGACCATTTTCTCTATAATGTTGTCTTGAGCAACCTTTGACACAATGACTTGATACACCCCATGCGCATGTAGATATGCAACAGTCTCTGCACCTTCCTTAATATTGGCTTCACCATGTGCATTGCTCTAAAATTGTGCTTCATTGCCAAACTCTCTATCATATGTCACATCAATGTCATCCTCTGGTATGCAAGTACTCATGTTTAGTTCTTCCACAATTTTAATGTGATGATCCTCTCTAGTCTGAAATTGTAGTTGATTGCCCAACTCTACATTGTATGTCTCATCAATGTCATCCTCTTGTATGCTCATGTCCATTTCTTCCTCAATTTTGACTTCATGATGAATAATATTCTCAGGTGCATCTTTTTAATTCTCCTCATCCCGAATTATTGTATGCATGAACATTGTGCTCTTATAGTTTGTTGGTATGAGCTTCTCTTTATAAACCTGGTAATAGAGATTACTGTTAGTTTTAGTACAATAAATAATATTATTCACATTAGATAATGTTAGTATCTAACCTCATCATCATTGATTGACAACAAAGACAAATTCTTCACATTCTTGTGAAGTTTTGTTAGATTCCATTTGAGAAATCGAGGTGTTGCATTTGCCAATATTGGTTCCACTATTTTGGTACACTCACACATCCAATACTACATAAAATGTACCAAATTGCCAACTATATGATTGAACATTTTTAATGTAAGATGAAAATTAGACTCCAAACATTCACAATAGGAAGACTTATACTTCAAACATGAATGTCAAAACAAAACCTTGACAATGTGACTCAACATAATCAATGTAACATGGAAAAAAAAAACTCCAAACATTCACAATTTGAACATTTATACTTCAAACACAAATGTCAGCAATATGACAATTCACTCAATGTAATCAATGAAATGTCAAAACAAATTTCAAACACTAACAATGGTGTTTTGAGTCTATTGGAATCTCAACAATATGGCTCAACATAATCGATGTAACAATGAAACTAGACTCCAATCATTTACAATGTGAATATTCATACTTGAAACACAAATGTTAATGATAGAATATCGATAATGTGACTCACCATAATCAATGTAACATGGATAACAAACTCTAAACATTCACAATGAGAAGATTTATACTTCAAACACAAATGTCAACAATGGAATCTTGACAATGTGACCATTCACTCAACATAATTAATGTGACATGAAAAATAGGCTCTAAATACTAACAATGAGAAAATTCCTACTCAAAAACAATTAGGACATTATTTGAATGAAAAATGTGAATATTGGAATATCAACTATATGATTGAACATTTTCAATGTAAGATGAAAATTATACTCCAAACATTCACAATGGGAAGATTTATATTTCAAACGTGAATGTCAAAACAAAATCTTGATAATGTGACTCAACATAATCAGTTAATATACATTAGGGGTGAGCATGGTTCGGATTGGACCGGATTGGGATAAAATCAGAACCAATCTGTTATCTACGGTTCCTGAAAAATTAGAATCAATCCAATCCGTTTAAATCGTGGAACCAATCCATTTAAACGCGGATTGGATCGGTTTAGGACCACGGATTCACATAATTAAATAATAAAATATATATATATATATATATCACTTTAATTTCATAAAAATATAAACATAGCACTATATTAGTTCCACAATAGTAACACGTCTTTCTATAATAGCGATACACTGTTCTAGAATGTAAACAATCATAAGAAAACTGGTTTCACCATAAGTATTTAGATAATTACAAATTAAAACTAAAAACTAACAAACAAACTACAACAAAAAAGGGCTTTTACGGCACGCAATGCAAGCCGTAAAAACCCTTCTATGACCTGCAGCGCACGTCATATTATGATCAGTCATGGAAAGTCATTCACTTTCAATGACATGCTTCGTACGCCGTTAAAAACTATTTAACGTTAGATTTTGTGCGTCATTGTTACGTTTTCTATGACATGCTATAGTACGCCGTTAAAAACTATTTAACAGTAAATTTTGTGCGTCGTTGTTACTTTTTCTACAGCTACTTTTGCATGCCGTTAATTGGTGAGACAAATAATGACGCTGATTGCGTGCCGTAAAATATGTAATACGACTTATTATGCCTGTCGTAGAATATGCAGTTTTAATTTTTTATTTTTAAATTCAGCAAGTTCTATTTGACCAATTTTATACAATCTAACAAATATTACAAACAAGCATCACAAAATATTAATCAACCACCAAAATATTGTTTGAAACATCAAAAATAAACTATATCCATAAATTATAAACATTCAACAATTGTTTATACATTCCAAACATTCGAAAACTATATCTTTAAGTTCTAAACTGTAAAAAAAAGTTTAAACCATCCAAAACTATGCATATCTAACTTTCTAAACATATCGACAACTATTAAGAGATTATATAAAACTACCGACAACAGTTCCTATAACAATTGCTGTTGTAACTGTAGCAAATCCACTTGCTAATATCACAGGGACGACGGTGCCCAATGTATGTGTTAAGGCACCTAAACCCGCGGCAATAGCTAGAGCAACTAACCTGGTTGTATTTCTTGTCTGCATGACAAAAGAAACTTCACATAAGTACAAAAACCAACAACTTAGGGACAAAAATATTTCTTGAGGTATTAAGAAATGATCAAGAAATTTTAAAACATCAACAAAACATTTCCAAAATTAATAAAATAATTCAATGGCCCTATAAAAGCAATGTCATAATGAAAAATTAGCAAAAATTCAAGATCTCAATAGTCTCAACGTATATGAAAATAAAATCCACATAAAACAAAACCTTTTTTTTTTTCATACCTCAAATGAAGTTACCTCTAATGAAGTTACCTCTTTTGTTGCAATGTTTCTAGAGGGAAATGAGTAGGAATCTTCAAACAAACCATTAAGTTTGTACAGGAAATATAGTTTTCTACTAAATCCAGGCCATAAGAAGCTCAAGAGAAAAATTAAATTTTAAAAGAGGAAAAGGTGGAATTAATCTACTTTAATGCAACACCTACTTGGGACTTGCATAATTATGTTAAAGGATATCTATGTATGAGGTTTAGGTTTGCATAGGTTTCCCATATAACAGCCTCATAGTAAATTTCCCCATATAACTGCTGCAAAGTAAAAGAAATCCAGAAGCCACAAAAAGAAACAAATCCAACGCATCCTATAAATCACATTCGAAAGATGATTAGAAAAGGGCAAATCATACCTGTCATTGTCATAATCCATTTGGGCAAAAAGTATCATTTAGAACACTAAAATTAATAAATGAAGGCAGACACATTTTCCTTCTATTTATATTGCAACTCTAACCACCTCCACATCCTAAGACAGAAACTTTTGACAGAGATGACATATCAAAACTAGCAACAAGAAATGTGAAAGCAACAAAGATCGATGTGACCTACTGTTGCCATAATTCTCCCTGCAATATGCAAAATGATACAAGATTACAAAAACAGAGAATATAATTATTTAAAAGGATATGTAGTCAATGCTCCAGAATACAAGAAGCACTATGAGTAAGAAAAGAAAAATTATAGAACATATCACAGGCATGAACATGAGCTGGAAAAAAAATGCTATTTGTACCATGGAACTGAAGAATATGCAGCCAGCACTCTCTCCATAAAGTTACAGCCTAAACTTGACCTTAAACTGAAATGTTACACCAAAACATGTTATGTGCTTTTTTGTCACATCCAACAAATAGAAATCAACACCAATTAAGACTGAATATACCACACTACTTAGAATTGTAGTGGTTCTTTGGAAAATAGGATGTCTGTAACATGTAGGTGCTTGCAAATAAAGATGTATTTTCAGATACAACACAAGAGTAAACATGCCTTGACAAAAAATTTAGGCCTACCTTACCATGGGACAGTGACTGAGGTATGTAAACCACAACTATAGGCTAAAACCACTTTATTTAATTTTTTGCGTAAAACTCCCCCACTGCCAGCTGAAGAGGCTACCATCTTTTTGTCACTGCTCAAAACCGCTTGAATAGCTGCACTTTTTAAGGCCAAAACATTAAAGAAAATGAAAGAAAAAAGAATAAACGAAATATCAAACAGAATATTTCAAGAGCTTTAGAAAATGTACAAGAAATATACCACTAAGTAATTATCCAAGGTTAGAGTCTTTCCGAAATTTGGTTCCATTTTGATGTTATGTAATAAGATGAGAAAAATAACAAGCTGAAATTATAGTTATAATTTGACTGTACCTCAATATTTATGATTTATGAGAAAGAAGACTGATATTGTGGAAAAATGAAGGTGTGGTGAACAAAACCCAAAACAGAAAAGGTAGTACTTCGAAGGAAAGTACAATAACAATAAAAAGGCTTACATGATGCATTAAAAAAACTATTGCCACTAGTATACTCTATAAAAATTTATTGTCACTAGTAAAGAAATCAACATGAGTTCCTTCACACAAATAACCCATCTATCATGTATGACACCCAAAAAAATATTAAAATTTAAATAAAAAATAATAACAATCTCGATCGAGGGGAAATAAAAGACTATTACCTCTTGGAATGAAGGCAACTTCTTTGAACAACATACTTTATCAGGATGCAGGAATGGATTTGTAAATGAAACAAATTTTATTAAAATTAGAAGCTTAGCAAATACCCAGAAAAAATAAGTGAAATTAAATGTCTGTATTCACATAAATAGTTAATTGCTCACCATATCATCAATTTCTGGTCTGTTGTATGCTATGAAGCATATTGCAGGGAGAATCATTTTACATACAAGCTGTAACGCCCTCAAAATAATACATAAAACCCATCACTTTAGACATGCATTGATATAAAAGAAACCAACCATTTCTATTCATCAGAGTAATTCTTACAACTGTATTACATGTTAACAACAAAAGCAAATGCCCTAAGGGCTTACAGCTTTCCAAGTCAACACCTGGTTACACAAAAGAAGAGTACTAACTCTATACAAAATAAGCCCTTGGCTTGATATACATGTAATACAAACAAAATAAACAAAAAGAGTCTTCAACTCTCATCATCATCCAAGCTATGTCCTTGAGGTGGCATACTACCTGTACCTGAAAATAATGTCCCATATAGGGTGAGCCAACGCCCAGTAGAAATATGCTAAACACAGTATGAGCAATAACTAAGACATTAGCAATTGATAAATGCTCA